AACACTCCAAAGAGAAAGGAAAACTTGAAATCGCATCATATGACCCCTTTAAAAAAGTGTACCATCTACCGGCTTATGATTAAATGCTTGATAAAAGTTTTACATGAATATAAATATTAACAAGAATACAACCTAAAGCAGACTGAATGACAGAAAGACCTTATGACCTTACCAAAGGGGTGTCTGGGGTGGCAGTGGTGTTCAAAATACTGTTTTCCATTAAAATACATTATACTTGTTTCACATCGTAGTTAATGTACATACATTAATGACTTCACCCTAGGCTGAAAGAGTGTGTATAGACATTTTTCATAAATTAATTTGTCTTTTTGTGGACTGAATAAAGTCTACATTTTATATAATGAGATAATTTAGATTGCCCTTACTCTTTCAGTTTGTGCAAACTTTTTTACAGCAAAACTCATTGACGTCCATTTTTTTTCATTCTTGAAGTGAAATTCGTGCCTGTATGGCGATTAAAATTGGTGATTAGATATTGGACTGTCAGAAGAATGAGAGAACATGATGGCGTGGCATTTCTCAACCAGTGTGCATCACATCTGAAGTAAGTGGATTACCATTGGGTTTAGGTTTCCTGAACAACTTCTACGAATGTTGAGTCACTGTGTAAGTTAACGTTAAACCATTGAGGGTGCTTCTGAAACAAGTGAAGCTGCTCTAGGCTTAATGCACATCAGGATGACATACATTTCTGTCCTGCCTATTGCTATGAATATCACTCTGTCAATCACTGCAGTTCTGAGAGTTAAATTCAAATTCTGATTATATTTAGCCTAGAAAGCACACAAATATATAATCACCAAAAATCTGTCACTCATTTTAGTTCTGTCATGACAACTCTAGGAATGATTAGTATGGTAATACACATGGCAATGTTAATGTATTTGGTCTCGGCAGAACAGATCGGAATAAGTGGAATACATCCACATACATGCTTTTGTGAGCATGTAAGACATACTGCTGCTGCACATATAACACAGATGAATTTACCCCGCACATATAACATACATGAAATTACCTGTAGCAGATCTATACAGGTGGAGCTGGGGAAGGTGGAGGGTTTCTTAAAGTGTGCTGTAAAGTGCTACAGCGAACACTGGTCAAGTATTTGAATGTTGAACAGCAAGCTCATTGACTGTTGATGCAACAGAAACCAATCAGCTGCACCGTGTAGTAGTGCTGTGTACGATACATCGATACGACGATGTATCATCACAGAGATTTGATGATACAAGTAGCTGGCCCTGTATCGATATTGTGGCACGTGTGCAGCAGTGGACTGCACTTAATTTGAATACAAGAACAACGTTTACAATTGAGCAGAAAAGTGTGAGGTTTCTAAAAAATAATGAATAGAGAATAATACATAGGCTATAACTAGGTTTAATCTGGCCGCAGAGGAACACAACTGGGTTGCCTGATATAAAGACACGCAATCCCTGAAACAGAGCTTCACACTTGCGCAATACGGAAATAACAGGTAAGTATGCTACTTATCTTTGTCAACCTGGCAACCATGTGCACGCGCTCTCTCTCCACTGTGGATAAACGTGCTTGCTTTCTGAAACACCGGTTTAAGTTTTAGCTTGCAGTTTAGCGATCTCCACTTCAATATTCTATTATTTAATTTGTGCAATGATAACCTACCAGCAATGTAAATATGATTTTTTTATATATTAGAATGAGTACATTACAATATAAATTTATTAGAACGAGTGCATTATTATTTATGGGCTTAAAAACAAGATACAAACAATCAGAATATTGTACCTGGTGGGGAGTGCCCAATGTAAACATGAAACATTACCACAGTACATAGATGGTACAGTTATGGAGGCCCTTCATAATGCAGAGGTCAACTGCCTGCTCTGCCAATAGTTAGAAATGGCACTATAGTATGCAGTGTTTAATAAACAGATGTTTTATTAAAAGTCTTCTGAGGTGAAGTACAGTCCCGTATCGTGATACGTATCGTATCGTGACTTTGCTGGTGATACACAGCCCTACCGTGTAGATGACAATGTACTAACAGATTGAGTTAAGGACCTATCAGCCTGCGCCATCTAGAGTTAGAGTTTCTCACACAGTTCACAAATATTTACTAGATTTGTATCTATTATTACAGCTTCAGCTGTGGGTGCTCCACACATGCCACCATGACAAAACTGTTGCATTTACTAGTTGCCATATCAACACTATATAGAGAAATAACTGCACCAAAATTTGAAAATATGTAGAAGATATCACTGAACATTACATGATAGCAAAAGTAAATTTCTTATACTGGAGTTAATTACTCATCTCAATTTTCAGCGTTTATTTAAATTGAGACAAATTTTCTATTATTTTAATCTTTAATCTAGATTAAATAGTTCTGCCACTGACATGGGAAAAATATCAAAAAAAAATTTTCTTTTTTGCCTAAACAATGAAGCTAAATGTGACATTTTTAAGTGTTTTTATAAATTTTAACTTTGTTTTATAAATTATAGATTCATTATAATTAATTATAAAATAAATAAATTCTAAAATATAATAAATCATAAATCATAAATAAATTAAATAAATAATTATATATGTGTTTTAAAGTTTGAATAACAACAACAAAAAAAGATTTTAAAAAAAATTGAATGCTCTTCTGTCCAGAGGGGGGGGGAATTATTTATGCACAAGAAAAAAAAAGGGTGGAAAAACAAGAACAGCTCAAACCAAATCAATTATGCCAAATCAATCCCTCTCTCTGATCCCTTCTGGTGAGATGAATCATTGAAACTAACCATTGTTATGGATCAAGAGTGCCAGAATGTAACTCATTCAACAATGCATGAAGACAGGAAAAGACTGCCAGCCCCTATTAGATTAGCTGATGAAATTCAATTGAAACTCTCTTCATGAGGTTACAACAGCAGTATGATCATAACCACCACAGTAGCCATAAAAACAGAGCACGTACATGCTAAGTATAGTGCTGCAGCTTGGGGGAAAATGGATGTGGTGAAAAAAAAGGGACGGAAACTTGGAGCAGTGAATGGAAAATTGAGATAAGATCCCGTTTGGTCCCTCCCCCTCCAAGTTCTCTGGAAAGGGAAGCTGGGGGCAGGGGCGACTCAGCGAGCTGTAAAACATTATGT